CCCCCCCACGCTACTGGTGGCACCAGCCGTCCCGTGCACCGGCGGGGTGGGGGCTGCGCCCGTGTGGGGCCCTTGCCGTCAGTGGGAATAGCCCGTGGAGGCTGGGTGAAGCTGTGCCCCTTCCCCTGGCCAGAGGTGGGAAGGACATGGGGAATCCTTCTCAGAACTCTCATGCTGGTGGATCCAGCACAAGATTTTGTGCTCCCTCCAGGATGGAGGGACTCCCCCGGCTTGTCTGTCCTAGCCAAAGAGCCCCAGCCCTGGCACAGATCGTGTGCCCTCCTGCTCTGGCAGCCGGCAGGACCACTGTCCCCTAAGGCTGTGTCGGGGCTGGCCCTCCAGCTGGAGGGAAGGGGCCCAGGCTGACACCAGGAGATGCTGTTCATGGATCAGCCCCGTCACCAGCCTGCAAAGCTGCGCCGCAGCTCCCAGAGCCGAGGCCGGGGGTGGGCTCCCCATCCGGGAGCAGCAGGCAGGACTGTGAGCGAAGCCTGCCAGCAGAGCGGGGAAGTCAGGCAGTGTCACATGGCTAGAGAAGAGCGAACACGCTGCGTTCAGAAAACGGAAAAAGTGATCTGGACAATGAGAGCCCTGTTAGCCTGACCTCCCTGGCACATGGACTCGGAGCACGTTCAGGTAGGGAGATGGCGTAGAAATGGGGAAACGGCTCGTGCTGTGCCCTGGGGAGTTCACATCGCCAGCCCAACAGCCATCCTAGGTCGGGTGCAAGAAGTGCTGTTGGCTGGTGCAGACCTCAGCAGGGCGTTTCCCCGGGAAATTACGAGATGAGCGGCAGAAGCTGAGGACAGACTAAGCTGTGAGGGGAGAGGGAGTGCAGTGGGGATGAGGGACACTGGAGCCTGAGCAGAGGAAAGCTGTGACCTGGGAGAAGAGTGCCAAGGGTGACAGCAAGCTGGGGTTAATGCAGAAATGGATGGCAGAAGTTTGAGCAGGTTCAGAAGAGACTGAAGGACTGTAAGGAAGAGGAATCCACAGTGGGCTTGTAAATACAAAGCCTGAGGTAGCTGAGCCGGGGGTGGCAGAGTAGGGCTGCAGCAAGGTGTCCCTTGCCTTGTCCCAGGGCACCTCCTGCTGCTGCTGCAGGGGTTGGGGTCCTGGGCTGGGGGACGTCTGTCCTGGCCTGACGCAGCCGTAGGGCTCCCATCCCAACTGCCGTGGACGGTGTCAGGACGTGGAGGCCCTTCCAGCATCAGCTCTTCTGGCTGCTCCCCATGCGCAGACAGACGTGGGGCCAGGCACAGGGCTGTGAGACCGCAGGCGTGCGTGGGGCTGCCCCGCGTGGCTGCAGGGCTAGGGCTGAGACCTGTCACCAAGCCATGTGATGCCACTGTCACCGAGGATTTCAGTCATCCTTTCCAGACTGAGCATCCCGGATCCTGGAGGTCCCACTGCAGCAGCTCGGTGGGGACTTGGTGCTTTGCTGCACAAAGCCCAAGCACTTTCTGAGGTGCTGTGTTCTGGTTTCTGGTCCTACATGCTTTGTTCCTGAACACACAGGCTTAAATTTTCCGTGTAGCAGCACGGCTGTCCAGATCTGGCCCTGTCACAGTTCTGTACACGCCCGTCCGTTTCTGTCTTTGCAGGCTGTACCAGGAGAGGACTTTTCTCCTCCCCCAGAAACGGTTTTGCCTTGAAAAGCATGTGATCCTCACCAGCAAACCCACTGAATGGTGACTTTCCTGTTGTAACCAGATTTTAGTTCCAGCAGGTGACCAGTTCTAATCCACTTAGTAGAAGGTGCACTGATTTTCTTGAGTGCTAATTATTCATTAAAAGGTGGTGCAAGATGAATTGAATGCCTTCCAGTCTCAGCCTGTTATATCAACACAGTTACTCCAATTAACCAAACCTGTGATCTCATAAAAGGTCATACCAGCTTTCTGACACGGGCTGTTTCTGCAGAGTTGTGGAGATTGGCATTAATTGTGCTGGTGTCCTTCAGCGTTGTATTGACCCTGTTGCAAAACAGCCTGGAGTCTGCCTGCAATCCGTGTCGGCAGAGATCATCTTGCTCATTCAGTGCAAGGGCTGGTGCAGCTTTAGTCCTTATGCGCCTGCAGCTTTCTCAGCCTCCCAAGCCATGCTACAGTTAGCACTGAGAGGGCTCAAATTTGTGTCATGTGCAAAGTGGTAAAGCTCTGAGGATTTATAATACTTCATTTGGTCAGGGGGGATGTCCCCTCAGTGGCCGATGGAGGGAATAAGAAGTGATTTATTACCGCTGTGAGATGGTAAACTCATCTGTTCACTGCTTTCCAGACAGCAGAGATGTGGATGGAGCATTCCCGCCCTGCCTGCCCTTGGCAAGCCCAGAGACGCCCTTCTCTGAGCCGCTGGCAGGGCTGGGGTGGCCATCTGTGCCTGCCCTCCTCTTTCTCCTGCTGTAACAGACTGAAAGGTTCAGCAAAGCGTTTCCCTGCTGCCTGCCCACAAATACGCTTCCTGCTGGGCTTCATTTCGTCTTGCAGTGCCAAAGCAGGCAGCTGAGGTACGGGGAGCCCAGTGCCGGCTCCTGCCAGCCCCAGTGCTCCCGGGCTGCCCTGAGCTGGGGTGCGTTCCTGCCTGCTGTGACAGTGCTGTGTCTCCATCAGCACTGTGCTGTCACCCCTGCCCCAGGCTGTGGCAGAGGATGGAGCCGGAGCCACGCTGAGGGGACTGGTGTGCTTCTCGCCAGGATGCCTTGCATTGGCCTGGACCGGTGTTGGTCCTTGTTATTCCTCACCCTCTCTGCCTGAGCATCCCTATGGGCACCAGGCACTCATCCCAAGGGACTCACTGCTCTTGGTGGCACCTCTGATGTGGTGCTTGCCCGGAGGGGCAGGCAGGCAGCAGGGCTGGGCCCCTTCACCGGGTTTTGTTGGTGCGATGGGTGTGGAAAGGGGGCTCTCTGTGGGCACCTGGACGCGGCTTGGGTCCAGGAGGCATTCCAGAGGCTGGAGGGGTGGCCTGGCCTTTGTTGTCTGGAAAAATGAAGACAGCAGGAACAGGGCCGATTCCTGCTAGCAGAGCCTCTGCGGAAACCTTGCCCCAGACACTGGCAGGGGGCTGGGGCGG